TAAAATAAATTACTCTAGGAACATGCCTATAAGCCCAGCACTCTAGGAGACTGAGTAGGGAGGATCACAAATTCAAGCCAAGAATGGGCAATTTAGTGACACACTGACTCCATAAAATAAGAACAAGCAAACATACAAAAAAGGCTGGAGATGTATCTCAGTAAAAGACTCTGGGTTCAATCTCGAGAACTACAAAGGAAAAAAAGTTATCTTCATTTGCTTATGCTCTATGTATTGTTATATTTTAATTGGTACTATCTGACAGTCATTAGTTGCTAGGCAACCTTGTTTCTCATGACACTAACTAATAAATGCCCCTGCTGTTGTTCAGGTCTTCTTACCCATCCAGTAAAGAGGCCTCCACCTGACCCAGCTCTTGTCTCTTGTCTCTTTTCCTCACAACAGCTGTTCCTCCCCAAGGTACACCGAGAGACCAACCAGTCCCTACAAGTAAAACTTTCTCTTTGGTTCCCTGCCCTTTTGACATGTCTCTTATCTTTGAACAATGCCTCCCTTTCAGCTATAAAAAAAGAAACAAACAAACAAAAACCAGATGAATCAGGCTCTCTGTACAACCTTCTGTCAGTCATGGAATCAGTCATTTCCACAAAAACTTCCCCTTCATTTTAATAAGAAATGGTGCATAGTGGCCAGTATATACAGACTGCATGTTGCATTGCCATCAATATCTCAATCTTTTCTTTGTTCTTAATAGCTTCTTATAGTAGTTATTTATCTGTGGAATATATTACAAATGTATTTCTCCTAATTTCTCCTGTGTCTTTTGTCTCTTCTTACAGTGTTTTTAATTGTGTAGCTACTGGATTTTAAGTTTCTGTTAGTTATAGTTGAGGTCTCAAACAAGTTATATAATATTTAAAACTTTACTTTTTACATTTCTATTGTGTATCTATTTGAAAATTATTTTGCTTTTGGACACAGTTACAGTGTTTTTCTAATTATTCCAATTTCACTTATTTAAAAGAAGGTAAATATTTTTACTGACAGAATCAGGAAGGACTTTTACCTTTTTATGTACTTATATCCATTTTAAAATTTTTCTTTCTTCCATTGGTATATGTGTATATTTTCATGCACTATAACACTACTTTTTCCAGATTAAAGGAGGTATAACTGACAAAAATTATACACATTTGAGATGCACCATATAACATTTTGGCACACATATACATTGGGAAGTGATCACCCTAATTAAGCTAATTAACTTTATCATCGAAGAGATACATAAAGATCTACTCTCAGCAATTTTTTTTTTTTTTTTTTTTTTGGTTTTTCTCTGGTACCGGGAATACTCTCAGCAATTTTAACTATATTGTATTATTAACTGCAGTCATCAGGATATACATTAGATTTTCAAAACTGATTCATCCTAAAACTTCAAGTGTATACCTTCAATATCTACCCATGACCTCAATCCCAACAACCATTCTTCTACTCTGTTTCTCTGAGTTAGATTTCACACAGTATTTGATGTTTTACAAATATTTTAAATAAAGAGGCTTCAGTGTGTTTTATTTTCTTGAAGAATTATTTTTATTGACATCACTTTTTTTCTAGGATGTTCATATGTGTTGCATTATGTTTTCTACAATATGAACTTTAGAATCAACGTTTTGTTCAGGAAAAATAAACAATTCATGCTTTTTTTAGTGTGCTAAATTTCTCTTACCTGGCAGAGAACTGACAATAACTAAAAAGGGATATCTTGGGCTGGGGATGTAGCTCAGCGGTGCAGCACCTGCCTGCCAAGTGCAAGGTCTTGAGTTTGATTCCCAGTACCAAAAAAGAACATAGTAAAAAAAAAAAAAAAAAAGAAATAAGGAATATCTTTTTATTAATAACTACTTCCAGGAGTATGCCTAAGTTTTGCTCACATTGTTTTTCATATATCTTGTTAAGCTTTTTCCTAGATAACTATTGTGTTACTTGTGGCATTGCAAAGGGAATCTTCCATTATATTCTCTAACTACTTATTGTGTGTATGCACCTTGATTTGGGATGTTAATTTTCTACTCCATTCTGTTAATAAACATTTTTAATGCTTGCATTAGTGTTATCACTAATTTATTTGGATTTTCCAAGCATTTTATTATGTAATCAGCCCATAGAATAGCTCTGCAGCTTTCTTCTAATTGTTATTCTTCTAGGTATTTAAATTTTTCAAAAATTGCATTGACCTGTATTTCTAAAACAGTGTTAAAAAGTAATGGAAACAGTGAACTTTCTTGCCTTCTCCATGACGTTATTGTGACACTCCTGTGTTTTCACATTAAGTTAGATGGTGACTTCAGGAATAACCAGTTCATAGTTTAATGGGTGTTTTTGATAGGCATGGACACTGATTTTGTCAAGAGACTTGAATGTTGAAGGCACTTATTGAAATAATCATATAATTTTCCCTTCCAATGAAAAATATAAAACAATTTAAATCTATTGATGCTGAATACTATTTATTGTTATATTCCAAAGTAGAAGAGAGAATAAGGACAAAATATTAAAGAAATTAGAAAAGGGCTTTTTTAAGTAAGAAAGATTATCTATATTTTTAGGAAGACCAGAAAATACTAGACAGCATTAAAAGGTAATCTACTACTGATATCGTTGTGAAATTGTGGAATTTCAGAATAGGGAAGTAAAATGGTATTTTCATTATTGATTGTAGTCATCAGGATATACATTAGATTTTCAAAACTGATTCACTGTGAGTTCAAACAAGAGGAAATACTATTTCATAGTCTTGAAGTGACAAAATTAAAAGTGTGATAGTCACTCAGTTTTGGTAAAGATGTGGACTAATGAAAACATATGTAGATGGTTGAAAACTCAAATTGTTACACATATAAGCTTAAAATAATTAAGTATTCCCAAAAAAGGAATATTGTTTGACACAAAAAATGTATAGAATTTGTATTGCTTGAGAGTATGTGCACATATGGTACAATACTAGAATAAATTTTGTTTAAAATAGGAAAAAATAAAATAGTTGAAATATTTGTCAAGAGAATTCTCTAACTATTGATGTTTTCTTAAGTAGTGAATTACAGAATACAGCAGTTAAAAGTATAAAATACAGCTATTGCATATGGAACTACATGTACAAGCCCTTATTAATGCACTTAGGAGATAGACCAAGTCACAGAAAATTGCATGCACTAGAGTATATGTGAAATTGAAACAAGACAAAATTCAATCATATATATATTATTTGGAAAAGACAGATCAGGGAAATTATTGAGTCAAAATTTATAATAAAGCCTCCCTTTAGAGAACTTTAGGAAGCACAATGTCCTAGAGAAAACATACACAGAGGATTTCACATGGACTGATTTTTCTGGAGCAAGGTGGCCTAACAGGGTGTTATATAATGAAAATTCTCTCAGTGGCTCATGGACATTACTTACATTTTGCACATCATAGACAATAAAATAAATTTAGATGCTTTTAAAAGGACTGTTGCATGATGGCGCATTTTGCACTAGCCATGCACTGATTACTGTGTCGCATGGCCATCTACAATACATTTTAATTTGTGAATATTTTGTGAGAAATATGTATTTGAGGAACAAATACATATTTGTATTTGTTCACTTCAACATGTAGAAAGTCTTCTGCCAGAAGGTGGATTCTGCCAAGCCTTTGGATATATTTTTTAAAGATTCTATTCCTTCTGTCTGTTCCATACATTTTAGTGCTTGGGTCTCCAAGAAGAAAGCACACATCATATGTAATTCTTCACTTTATACAAAAATTAGTTGTAGTTTACTAGCAATGAACGTGTAGACACAAAAAAAATTTCATTTTTAATCCCTTAAAGGTACATCTATTGGGGTTGCATGCTGAAATCTAATAAATAATAATAGTGAATAAA